CAAGAGGAAAATCTGTTCTTATCCACACTGCACCAAGTACACAGTATCTAAATATTTCTAGCATGCTGACAGTCCACTAGAGACTTTTGCTTCTTCTGTGAGAGTAGGTAGTGGATCTGTGAAAAAGACGTAGTACTGCCTTTTTGGATTGCAGCCTCTGCTTTTGAGTACTTACGGTTTGAATGAAGGGAAGAGAAGTATGTATACCGTTTGGGTATGCTTAGTGTTGCATGGTCTGTATGGCAACGCTAGACACAGCCCTCTGCTACAACTTTCCCATTGCATTTTATACCCGTGGGAGGTATCACTAGTCAATAGAAGGTTTTTTCTTTCTGTAGGGCTAAGCTAATGTTTGTAAGCAATGCTTTGTCAGCAGTGAAGTTGAGAATAGGAGAGATGGTGGTGTAAGGACTAAACCAGCTGTTTAACTCTCAGTGCTACTTAAGTAGTAAAATGTAACACTTTTATCTTCTCTTATGTAGCACCTGCAAGTTCATTTTTCCAGAAGACCACTGCCCCTTTCAGAAGTTTCAGAAATACGCAAAACCAGAGTGGATAAATATCAACTTTGACACACACATGGAACAATACTAGACATAAAATGAAGGAAACTACTCAGTTGGTCTTTCCCTATTTTTAATTTTTGAGTCAGTGACAGCCAAGAAACTTAATCTCCATCAAATTCCTTACTGTTCCCTTAAGCACATCAGAAGGCATTATGAGCATTCTTCTGAGAAGAAAGGACACTTGTCTGTTAACCAGCAGTAATGTAAAGAATCAAAGCCCTTCTGGTTTGACCTAGTCGAAAGTGTAGCTCATAACCACATAAGCTTGATCAGCTAGATCTTTCGGATGGCCATTTGGAACTAAAGGTGTTCTTTTGGCAACTCACTGAGAGGAAGAGACTGGGTGTTTTACATAACTCCAGATGCTGTTGACAGAGAATTAAGGTAGCCTTTAAAAATAACAATGCCTAGGCATAAATTCATAATGAAACTTCATCACACTCAGATTTTTAAAGGCTACAAGTAGCCTTGGGAGACACTTGTATATTCCTGCTCTAAGATCTGTCTTGCACAAACAGTAAATTTTTCTTCTCTGTGAGAACTGACTTGAGCTGCTTATCAAAGATGAATGGGTGTATTTTATAATGAGTAGTAGCCTGCTAAAGATACATTGCAGGACCACATTAATTGAATGACAGGGATTAAATTGCTTAGGTTTCATGCATATTAAAAATGTGCCCAAAAGCAGCCTTATTAACCCCTTAGAATGTGGCATTTCGTGGGATAAAGCATTTTGAGGAAGGTAGGAAGATATGATCCAGGACATCAATCAACCTAAACAAAGTTTGATTACACATGTGTAGACACAAAATGTGAATTCCCTAAACTGATCACTTTGATGCATTCTCTGGATCCCAGCACTGAAGGAAATGGATGTCCTAAACTCTCTTTCTGGATCACCTTAGCTCACTGATCCAAAAAAAAAAAAAAATCTTTGAGTTGAACTGGTGTTGGATCTAGATTGTGTACAAGAAGAAAGACTAAGGAGTTGGCTGGGTGGGAGGACATAGAACATCAGCAAGTTTTCAGATTAAAATAGAGGTAGGAACCTGTATTGTGTATATATAGAGCATAATGAGGAGCATAATCTAAGGCTTACGATCCGTAAGTCTATTTCTGTGACCAAAGGATGAGGTAAAGAACGTTTCCTGCTTATGATGATTGCCATCAGGCAAGGCAAGACCCTGGGCCCCTCATTGTGCAAAGAAGCACTTGCTTTCCTGGGCATAACGCTTTCTGCTATTCCTGGTGTTACTGCATTTAAAAGCATAAATGAAGCACCTCTGGTTAAGCAGCGAAGTATACCTAAAGTAACGGAGACTAAACAATAGGTATTCAGAATGCAGTCGTGTCTGAAATTATGCCTCAGTGCAAATCTTGAGTTCTCAAACTTTTTTTCAGATGAAGTGAATGAAAGGGAAAGCAACAGCATTTTGCTTTCAGCCCTTTTGAGTATGTACTTCATCTGCTTCCTCTGATATGTCATCATAAGAGAAACACAGAAAACCCAAAAGATCATTATGTCTGAAGCTGTAATGTTCTGGACAAGCTGCAGCCTGGTATGCATGCTGATATGGAAGCTGGCATATTTTCTGGCTTTTGGAGGCTTCTTTTACTGTGATTTTTTGATGACTTACAGCAGCTCTGGAATTTTTACCTGAGTGGGATAATAATTAAATTTTTTTCACTCACATGTCTGAGCTTGGAAATGCATTTCCATTCAGGCTATTACTACAGCAAGTGTGATTAAAAACAAACAATCTGTAACCTTCTTCCGTGAACGCTCTGAGAAGAAGGTTATCTTGGATGCTGACACACGTCAGAAGTGTCTTAGATTCTGCAGCAAACTTGTGCTTATTTTCAGCACAGCCCAAATAAGGACTGATAGCCTTTGCACAGCATGGCTTTAGTCTTCCCACAGTTTCAGTAAATCTGTATTTACAGGGATTTCTATTTTAAAGCTTCTTGCTGAAGTTCATCAACATTTTGTCGCTTACTTATACTTCACCCTAGAAAGGCACCGTGAAACATGGCGTCTGTGTAACTTCTAAGAAAAATAACATGTATTGAATCTAAATACTTCAGGATATTTTTATCTCTGTTTTGATATTGGTTATCTGTTAGTGAAGCTTGGAAGAAATAAGACATGCTTGAGGAAAGGGAAGCTGGTAGTAGTCCTCAAGCAGATTGTGTCAGTTTAGTTTGTTTACAAATGAAGTGGAAAAGTAGTTCTTTCATAGAAGCTGTTACCGCATATAAGTCAGCATGCTAAGAAGCAATCACCTTTTGGTTCTGCTTTTCACATGGACTTGGAATAACTTTGTAACACTGAAATTTGAACACAGTGTCTGGTTGGACTTGACATTTCGGGAAACTCGGGCTCTTTCAGCTTTATGGCTAGAATAAGAAAATATTCACAAAAATTTGCAAATACAAATATGAGCAAATTTAACTTTTTACTTTCTTATGGTCCATTGAATAGCTAGTAGCAAACTGTCTTGGACTAATATGAACACTTAAGAGTGTAATAATGCTACTTTGCGTATGACTGCTGACTATGCAGTCTAAAAGAGGTATATTGTTCCTGTAACTCCAGGTGCCATATGGTTTAAATGGTGACATCAGGAGCCAGCTGGGAATTATGAGGTGATTGGTAAAATAAGTTGCAGACAAACACTTTTGGTTTCTGGTGGTACCTTTTAACTATTCGGTGTTTGGGTAAATTCCCCAAATATAGGTAATGTCCAGAAATTGGAGCAAATAATTCTTCATGCTGCGTAGTGTAAGAAATGAGTAAGATTAGAAAATCCAGTGTTTAAGAAATCTAGTGTTACCCATTGCGATCTGCTCCCTTGGATGCGGGAGGGCTGCAGCACACTGAAAGGTCCTTGCTGCCACCAGATGTCAGTATACACATGGTTAAAATCACTTTCTGTGCTTCCTCTGAATTTGTAGCTAATAATGTGTCTAGGATTGTTTTTCTCTTGTGCTGAATAACTGCATAGCTGACAGCCCTTGTGCAGGTACTAGTTCCTAGTTCAGGGGTTTGGTAGCATTAGAACTACAAGTAAGCTGTTAAGTCTTGTAACCAAAAATGGTATCAGATCTAGGCATCCCTAATGGAGCTAATATCTTAGAAGAAATGTGACAATTTCCTCTTTCCTGTAGTTGAAGGGCCAGCATTATTTTTTTTATACGCTAGAAATGATTTAGCTGATTCTAGTGAATGTGAGAGAGAAGTGTACTGAGACTGTACCTCTGTTCTCCTTTGACTGTTAATAAGGAAGATCTAGTACAAAGGAGCACAGACACATGGACAGCAGTTACTTAATGGTCTGTTAATACAGATTTGTTTGAAAATGGTCGGTTCTTACGCACAGAACTTAACCTAGCTGTGACTAGAGGAAGACTCACAGAAAGTAGAACTTCTTTAAGTAGTGCCTTCCATATAAACAGAAAATAATGCCAGGCTTTTCTAGGAGAAATGAGAATCTTCTTCCTCAAGGTGTAAATTTACATAGACTTCAAAGTTATGAAATGAGTAGTGTATGGAGGGAAGGAGTGTTTATTTTAAAATAAAAAAAAGGAAAGCTAATCCATTGGAAAGTGGGGTCACAGTGGGAGTTGTGCACTTTAGTACAAAAAAAATAACAATTTCAAAGGACAGCTGATTCACTAAGTTCTTGCGTCTTCAGAACTGAATTGCAACTGCTTTAAACTTTTGTACGAGTTGGCTTTGTCTTGTAACTGGTTACTTTGTGAAGGTTTAAATTTATCAATTTATTGTGTCTTCTGCAGCTATTAATGTCCTTTCTCCCTAAATCTGTGGAAAAAAATTGAGGCTATTGGTATCTAACATTGCAAATAAAGGAATCTGTTAAACAGAGGAGAAAAGACTTTTTTTTTTTAATAGGAAAATGAATCTTGCTTCATGTGCACTGTATTGCATAAGTTTTTAAATGGAATTTTGGCCGTCTTCAAAAACATAAGCCTTAAATGCTGAAGGAAAACCATCATGACTTCTTGTTTTTAAAGGCTTCTTTTTGAGACTATGAAGTATTAACGTGATCTATCAGAATCACTCTGGAGGCCACGTTAAAAGCCAGGCACAGGCATTTGCAACTTCCATTAAAATCAGAGGAAACTGTATCTGCTTATATATGGGTGGAATTCAGCCTACTGTCTCTTGTTAGGCAGTATCAGGAGATTAATTTGTGAACTGTGTGGAACATAGCTGCTCCTTTTTGGAGTATCATGATCATTTTTGGAGATGGTGATACCTTAAGCCCAACTGCAGTTTCTGCTTCTTGAAATGGAGCAAAAACTGATGAGAGAATCTTTTACTACCCAGCAAGTATGGATAAGATAATAGTAAAAGTGACTTGTGGCCTTAATTGACCCTTAAGTTTTTCTTTTTACTTAAATACAGGTTTGTAAGCGAATGGACTTGGTTTGCCAGCGAATGTTAAATCAGGGATTTCTGAAAGTGGAAAGATACCACAACTTGTGTCAAAAGCAAGTTAAAGCTCAGCTTCCAAGGTATGTACCAGTTAAAACTGTAGTTAACCTTAAATGTGCTAGATTCTTTTAAGCAGAATATTGAAAAGGAATTTCTTGCTAGCTAATTCAACTTATATATCTCGAAAATCTGAATCACATTTGTTTTAATTTCATTTTTTTCCAAAAGCACCTTGAGCCTAAGGTCTAATTACAAAATAATGGTGTGGATGAATGTAAGTTGTTTTATATTAGGAACTGGAATATTGGAAAGTGTCTCTGGTGTTTTAAACAGGGAAGAGTGGGTCCTGTATTATTCAACTCTTCTGGCAAATCAAGCAAGGACTCCTAGAATGAATAAATGCCATTCCTTTTCAAGACTGACTGCCTTCACTGATGATTTATCTACGAGACTGCTTTAAAAAAAAAAACAACAAGGTTTTTCAGTGCCAAGGATTAAACAGGGGAAAAGGAGGGGGGGGGGGTTGACATGTGAGCATTACTGGGAGCTAGTTTCTCACTAAAGCAATGTCTTTTCTCCTCTTTCCAGTGAGTAAGTGCAGCTGCTGCTGTGTCCTATCAGATTTCCTAGTCAGCGTGAAGAAACTAAATGCTACTTACTGTAGAGATCCTTTGTCAAAAGAGCTTATATCTCAACCTAAACTTTGTAGCAAGCACTAATCAGATATTAAATTTGTGTCAATTGCATTGAAGTACTAACTGTAGGAGTATGGGGGGATAAAAATATCCACACTGACCCAGCGTCTGTTGCTAGTTAGTACTGAAAGCTTGTTTTTAAATAGTCCTAAATTACATATAGAGTTTATGGATCACATAAGATGCAGTAATTATTTAGAGAACAAATTTTGTCTAAGAAAGTGTAGTATGCTCTTACTAGCTGGTTCTCAATCTGTATCAGTTTTTTTCCATAAAGACAGAACTAATGTTAGCGGTTACATTTCCAAACCTCAGAGGGTTTTAAGGGTGAAATTAACATGAGCGGTTGTTACAGTTTCATTTTGTTGACTCATTGTTAAATCAGTGTCACTTAATGGTCTGTCTTCTAGACGGGAGTCAGAAAGAAGAAACCATTCGTTAGCTCGTCATGCAGACATCCTTGCTGCTGTAGAAACAAGACTCTCTCTGTTAAATATGACTTTCATGAAGTATGTGGATTCCAATCTCTGTTGCTTCATACCTGGAAAGGTAAAATGTAGACTATATTATGTGAATGATTATCTGTGTTTAAAAAATACGATTGTGTAACTTAACCTGGGACAACTGGGACAAATTTACATAAAGTGTATATATACTGAAACTGTGTTTCAGATACTTGCAAACAAACACACAAGTGAGTACTCTGCTATAACGGGCAGTCTGAAATGAATGAACCATCTATCTGAATGAATACCTAAATATTAATTATTTTAAACTTTTTTCCATTTTCCCTTAGATTCTCTCTTAATTCTTGTGGCATATACATCCTCTACAACCTTTTACAAGAAACACATTATATGTAGGGTTTAATTCTGAATTTTAATTGTACAAAACAGCTGGAGGGCAGGACATCAGAAGATGTAGTAATTTAGACTACGTGTAACACGAAGCACTCAGTCAATCAGGAATATTTTAGGCACCTTTCTTAAGGGTTTGAGTACTTCAGATTAATCGAATTAAGATATTTAGTATGTGGAAACACTGTTCAGTATTACAGTGGATGGGGTATTTTTGTACAGCAGGTGGAATTAGTTTTAAATGTAGGTAAAGTGTGTTAAATATTACTACTACTGAACAATTCTGGTGTTTCAGAATACTACCCCAAAATAAAATATAAATTATGCAAGCGAGATGTACATCAGAGGTACCACTGTTTTATAAGCTGTGAAAACGGAAGTGCACAGGGGAATTGACAAAATCATGATCTGAGGAAGACTGGTACAGCTCGGGGTTGAAACAAGATCTGTGAACATTAGTCTAATGCTCTACTCATTGATCTTTCCATGTGAGGCTTGGATATGTTGGCATTAATTTTTCATGGGCAGATAACTGAATTGCACTGGGATGAATGGAAAAGTTAGCTGTTGGATTCAGGTGAAGCATGGCAGGCACTTTTACACTCAGTACAGTAGGATAGGCTGTCGGCATGAAATGTATTTTTGTCTTGAAGAGGTAACTTGATTCCTGTACGCTCTTGTTGACTTGATATTTAATTTTAAATTAAATCATTATAGTTTAATGTATTTATGCTTATTTGACTTTATATTATTTTTATATATACCATGTATTTTAAAAAATGTAATATAACACAAAGTCAAACTTAAGTCCTTGATACTCTCATAGTAAATGGAACACTTAAAAGAAATGTTGCCTTACTTTTTCGAGGAGTAAGACGGAAAGGCAATAGTCAGTCTAGACCTGGGGTGTGCAGGAGTTGGGCAAGTGAGCTTGCCAGCTGTTTTCCTTGTGGGCACTGAGTCATAAGGACCTTGTTTGTATTCTGATATAACAGCTAAAAAGTTTTTTTTTAATTATTTACTTAGTGTACGAGCTCGCTAGCACCACTGCGCTCTCAGCACAGTTACCTATTCACCAGAAAATCCTGTCTTGGTCAGGCAGATTCAAGGCTTAGTGTTCACTTACAGTTTGTGGTTTCCCTCCCCACCTGCCCTGCTCCCCTCAGGAAATTCCATTTGAATGAAGCTGCCACAGAATTGTCAGGAAGTGAATTTGTGTTAGAATATGTGAATCCTGATTTGAGGTTCGACATACTGTGTGAGGGTTCCTGGTGATAGCAGAGCGCTGCTGCAGGGTTTTGTATTGAGGATGGCAGGAGAATGCTTTGAGGATATTGTTGCTAACAGGATATAATGTGGGTAAAATTAGAGAAGTCTTTTGTAAGCTTGTTGCATGATGAGACACTAGTCTTGTCTGGCTTTTGCAACTTTTTAGCTAAGCTTACTTTATTAAAACACAAGATGCAACTGTATGGTCTTACCTATGATTCTAAGTCCTTAAGATCTGTGTTTTTGAGGAGACTCTTCAACCATTCTTAATCCTGTGCAAAATACCTGTGTCAGTAGTTTCGGTAATAAGAGACCAGCACTCCTATCTTGACCTGCCTCAGACTATAATTCATAGATTAGTGAGACATCTTTCATCTCTCTGTATCTCTCCTAACCAAAGGGCTTGTTTGTCAAACCTGTTAAGAGGGTGCTTATGTTCTCTGTCAGTAGTAGATTGATGTTTTATTAATTAATATATTTTGGGCTTAATCTGAATTTGCAATGTTTTGGGTGTATGCAAGTGATCTCAAGTAAACATTTACAGCTCTTCAGACTGACATAACGATAATTCTTGCTGTTCCATTCATGTGTTTCGTATGCCTCATAACTGGCTGGGGTAGTGACGGCTCTGCAGTGTGGCTTAGAATATCTTGCTTCAGGTTCTCCAAAAAGAAATGATTATGCTCTGCTGAGTATAGATTATATAACCCAGAAGTCAAGTATGGATGTAGTAAAACAAAATTTCCCACAATGAGCACTGTTTCATGAGTTTGAAGAGAGTTGTTGCGATAGACCAAGTGAATATCTTCTCTGATAAATCACGAACAGCACTTCATTTCCAAAAGCTGATCTAGAAGTAAAGCACACAGTGGTATGCGATAGTTATGTAGTAAAAGCCCCTGAATATGCCAGCACTTCTAGAATGATCTGAAATAATCTTGCCTTTATCAGAAAATCCTAATTCTTCTTAAATGTTTTAGGTAATAGATGAAATTTATCGTGTGCTAAGGTATGTAAACTCTACAAGAGCTCCTCAGAGAGCTCATGAAGTTCTTCAAGAACTAAGGGACATTTCCTCCATGGCTATGGAATATTTTGATGAGAAGATTGTTCCAATACTGAAAAGAAAGATGCCTGGGTCAGATGTATCGGGACGTCTGATAGGAACTGCCCCAGGTATTAATTCCAACGTATAGTTAAGTTTTATTTAGTTCTTCTGTAAAAATTCAGAGCACTGTATCTTTTTAAAGCTCCCTCCCTTAAATGCATAAATATTGATGATACTTGTTTCTTAAGAATGTTTACTGAAATTCATTTGCTTTGAAATTTAAGGAGCCTTTGTACTACCAAAAGAACAGTCACTTGAATGTATGTTAGAATTATGCATAGTGTGTACTCATTAAACAAACGCTTTTGTGCCACCAATGAATGAGACTTTATCATGGCACTTGGTTGAAATTTGGCATGTGAGATGACAACTCCGTGCCTTTTACTTTTAGGACAATCAGCAAATGAATTAGCCTAAGCTGTTGTAGTGTATAGAGAGCTAGAACATACTTGTATGTGCTTTTTTACATTCCTGGGGCACTGATGTATACGCTAACAAGCAAAATACTTATGGGTAATAGTAAAAAGGCAATTAAAATAACAGTCTATAAATAAACAATTAAACTGGTCCTTCATATACCCTGTCAGATTTTCCAGAACTTTTGTGGACCAAAGTCTAAGGTAGTTGCCTCATATAATGGCCAAAACAAAAAGATTAGTAGAACTGTAGTGTTTTCCCTGTGCTGAACATCTTCAGGCTTCTTAGGAACTGTGAAATTAACTTTCTGAAAGGATAACTTAATAAAAATAATTCAAAAAAATTACATCTTAAGCAAAAATGATAGGCCTAACTGTAGGAGCTGCTTGTTGTTTCTGGTATGTCCTGTCCATCCTTTTAGCCATAAGTGTGTGTACTGCCTCTTAATTATATCCCGTTAATTATACCTCAATTCCATTGAGTCTCTCAGCTGAGGAAGTATTGCCCAAAACCATAGTTGATGTCAATCGGCTTTTCAAGGCCAAGGCTTTATGTGGCATAAAAATGCCTGTCTTGTGCGGAGGGAGGAGCATTACTTATCTAATGGCAACCCTTTAGTGTCACGTAACTGTAGCTATGCTGGCACCTTGAAGGGAAAAAGAGGAGGAGGAGAATGACGACTGTTCTAGGCTGTCCCCGACTGTTCTGTCTTTGTAGCGCTTAAAAGTTGCATCTGACTAGCACAGCATTACTAGTAGAGTAAAATGATAGAAAAAGTGATAGATACCTTTTATGATAGGAAAAAGTGAAAGAAATTATACAGTAGCTGTTAGTCTCCTTGATTTGCAGGAACTTTATTAAAATCAACATTCCCAAGCTCAAATTCCAGTATGGTTTTAGTACTTAGGAAGAGTGATTCTAAAGAAGCATGGAAAATAAATTCCTTTCTTCTAAAAAGTAAGTTAAACTGAAATATCTTGTTAAGCCCCAAACCACAAAATTTCAGAACTTTAGCTGTCTGCAACTAAGACAGCAGAATTGTACTGCTCTATTGAATTATATTTATTTAATATAACTATTATGTAATAAGTAATTTATAGACGTGTTGTGGGTTTTTGACTTAACATCTGTGACAGAGAAGTCTAGATGACAACATAATATCTCTATGTAATTTTTGATAAAGCAAAAGGAGGGGGGCTTATATACGGAAAATGAATGATGAGCTGTTTTCCAGACTACTGAAAATCTAAGTATTTTAAACTAGTTGTGCTCTGAGCTATCGTATGCTCTTGTTAGACACTTAAATGACTGTAAATCTGTTTACATATTCACCTAACTTGCAACCAGCATTCAGATTCATGTTTGGGGAGTAGGGATAAGCAAAATATGGAAACTGGGACACAATTTTCTACCTTTGTCTTAAAGTTGTAGAGGATTAATCACGGTTTTCTCTGAAGTTCCAGGGCCTTCTGCAGCGCTGACAACAATGCAGCTCTTCTCCAAGCAGAACCCTTCAAGACAGGAAGTCACCAAACTCCAGCAGCAAGTAAAAGCGAATGGCACGGGCTTGACAGCGCTAAAGCGGGAAATCTCAGAGCTCCGCATCAAAGTGCAAGAGCAACAGAAACAACTCCAAGATCAAGATCAGAAACTGCTAGAGCAAACCCAAATCATAGGTGAACAGAATGCCCGATTGGCTGAGCTCGAACGCAAGCTGCGAGAGGTGATGGAGAGTACAGTAGGAAATTCTTCAGGTTCTGGCTCAAATGAACAATCTCCTAGAAAACGGAGGAAGGCGGTTGAATCCCCAGACTGTCCTAGGAAATCTAAACGCCTTCGAAACAGAAAATAACTTGGGAGTAAATGACGCCTTCAGGAGGATACACTGCTTTAGTAGCCCAAGCAGGTCTGCTTGTTTGGATACTGTGACTAGCTTCATGGTGTCACTTAGGCTGCTGGCTCTTCAAAACACCACTTAGACTTGAACAGTAATTTTCTTTCATTGAGACTTTTCCCCTGCTTTCTGTATGGGTGGGCCTAATGCACAGAATCTCTTAAGATTTGCAATAGATACATACTAACCAGACCTGCTCTGTTATGTTTTGAAGGGTTAATCTTTTTTTCTGTGCAGATGTGTTTAAAGTAAACTTATTTGTGTTTATGCATATGTTCACATAAAATCTTAAATAAATTCGGTCTTAACTGACTAAAAAGTTAAGCGTAAAAACAGATGTCCTGTTCACTTGAAAGAAAGATCCACTTTTAAAATCTTGTTTTAGAGAACTTGACCTTTTTTGTTACAAGTGACCTTGTCTGGAATGTCTGAAAAGTAGTTAATACTTTTTGGGAATCTCTGTAATGAGTAAAACTGACTTCTTAAGCTACAGTATTGGCTATATATTTTTGTAAACCTACAAGGAAGGGCCTTCTATCCAGTCTTCACATGCACACACCCTGGTTCTAGGTCTTGGGAGCCATGTGTCTACGTTTGCATGGATAGATGCATGTACAGCTTAGCCTGCTAAAAGCACTTGCCTGAAATTGTTCTTAACTCTGGGAGAGAGTACAGAGACCTATAAAGCAATTTCTTTGTTCCTCAGCCATAACGTAGCATCTGCTCTCAGCACAACTGCTTTCTTACAACGAGGTGGTCTTACGAGGCTAGTTGCAGGAGAGTTTGAACCCAGGCTATCTGCCACTTCCACTGCTTGTAAATTGCAGGTACTGTTAGCCAAAGCTGGAGAATTGAGAAGCTGCCTGTGCATCGCTTGATTCATAGGCCAACATCTAATAAGTATCAGACAAATTGTCCCCGCAGTAACCAAGCTCAGGGGGACACCGTTTGAATGAAATGCTGTATTATGGAAAAAACTTAAACTATTTTGTGTGTATGTGTTGGGGGTGGGGTGGGTGGGATGGAGACTTCTCTGTAACACTGATGACAATATTCTAAGCTTTCCTTATCCTAAAAGGTAAATCACTTCAGACAAAGCTTTAATTTCTTTCGCCACTTCTGTTTTGAGCTTGTAACTGGAAAAGCATGTCTTGCACTGTTCAGTCTCTCTGGTCACTTTAACAACCTCAGAGTTGTGTACAGTGATTTTACCCCCCCATCTGTATATTTTTGGAACCTTATACAAATACCATTGTCCTTGGTTTTGTTTTAATGTACTAAACTGTGTAGCTTTATCATTTGACTTACGTTTTCTTTTTTTAATCAGCTGCTGCTTTGGGTTTAGGTGGTATTGAATTCAACTTGGTATGGCGCTGCAAATGCAAATGCTGCATTTGTAGCTGTTCAAAATCTTGGCATTATTACCATGGGTTAAAGCGCAAGGTACTCTCACATTTTGTATGGCTGTCAGCATAATGTAGTGGTTGTATTTAAATCGCCAAACAAATCAGAAATTGTCTGGTCAAATGTTATATAATCGTGGGAAAACTGACATTTTTCCTGAAACTTCAGCTACAATTTTTACTTCTAAAACATATTAGCTCACATCAGAAGTAACACTGCAAATGCCTAAATTTTGGCAGACATTTAATTTTCAAATAAACTTGTTGGGTAGTTTGAGTCTTTAAAAAAAAAAAAAAAGCATGTTTCTTAAGAAAAGCATCAAGGAAGTGATAAAAGGTTATCTGGGGGAAAGGTTAAACTCTTAAAGGAGCATTTGCTATTACTGGTCTTCCATGGCTCAGAATTTTTTTACTGTTAAGGATCTCTTTTAGATAGATATCTGCTGTTCAGTTTAAAAATACTGGCATATACTTTATCTTTTAAAAAATAATAATTCTGACTCAAAGGGTCAGCATGATAGCTGTAATTACTGTGTATCATTTGATACAAACTCATTTAGTGGTCATTCATGATGACAAATTCATGTAATGGTCTAATTACCAGATATTTGTGGTTAAATACTTATAAACAAGTATAAACCTGTGAATTGCATTTACTGAAAAGGCTTATTCATACATGGCTTAATATCTTTCACTTTAGTTTCTTTATTCATTTCTAGAAGATGCAAACAATTTCCCTCCCCTTCACAATATACAAATAGTTCCAGGTTATTCAAGAGTACCATTTATTTATATGTGAGTGAATCTCTAGCGGTGCGTAAACTGAGCTGGAAAGAAAAACAACGGCCTATTGTTACATGAAACATTCTCTGTGAACGGTGCCAACTTGGAACCTTCAACTCAAGGAAGTTATCACATGCTGCAAGTTTGCAGGTGCATCCTGATCCTCTGCGTGCTACCAAGTGCAGTAAAATTGAACAAGGCCCGCCAAACTTAAGGGCAGAGGGGATGGTTACAAGCAAGCTCTGAGAAATGCCACAACAAAGGTACACCACTATTTCGTCTTGACGTCCCGGGGAGGGAGGGAGACAGGCATCAGGCTGGAATACACACCAGTGGTATAGATAGAATGTAGAAAACAGAATGAAATAATAGTTTAGAGAAAATAGCTGGAACATTAACTTCTGACACCATATTGTCCTTTATTAAATAAAAAGGATACATTTTGCAATATACAAACAAGCTGATAAATAGCCTGAAGTAAAACTAAATCACTTTTGACTAAATTTCTAGGCAAGTTTACATGAGTTAGTAATCAACGTCAAAGTACAGCGTTGGTAGCGATCGGTGATTGTATAATCTGTTCAAGGGAGAACCTCAAACTAATGAAACTAAGATGTAGTTTACAAAGTTACATGAAAAATCATTTTATTTGCAACCAGCTATCCAGTTGTAATGTTCAGCTTTAGTGCTTGTAGCAAGGGCTGAAACTGAACAGCTCAGGGTTGAAAGAGAAAGTAATAGTACCTGTCTCTTATAGTTAGTTTCTTAAAATAGCTTAAAACTACTGAGGCTAGTTTTCCTTCTTTTTGAGCTTTATTTTTTTTCTAAAACCAGCAGCTTGCTTTGTAAACTGCTTTTTGTTTCATAGTAAGGTTGGGGATTTTTTTACAAATTTGCGTATCTAGTGAACGTGGTGAAAATGGTATCGGAAGATACCACAACGGTACTTTTTTGAGGAAAAAGCTGTTTGCAACCAGGTCTTGCTCCCCAGATTGAACAACTTGTATGTACATGCAATATGCAAGCGCCTTCTAAACAAGGGCTAATGGATGTAATAGGTGGAAGGCCTGAAGGAGGAAAGACTACCTGCTTAACAAGATAAATTTCTCAGGGTAAAGAACAGATAGAAACAAATGTTAACTTCTTCAATCCCTGACACTCTCTCAGCGTAGCACATTAAATTAACCACAATAGTTCATTAATGTTACGAGGATGCCTTCACATAATTTCTTAACGTGAAAGGTAAGACCGTATTGAACAGAAACTTAGTTGCTCTTACTGAGATCTTCTAACAGTTAATTGTGGGAAGCACTAAGATTGCCGAAGGAATTTTCAACATCAAGGGCCTCTTGAAAATAGGATGACATAGGATGTAATTAAATGTGTCTTCAGACAGGAGAGGACTACCTGATTTCTTGGTGTTCCTGACGGTTTTAAGAAGGTAACTGGCAAATTACAGTGATAGATTATTATTTCATTCATCGGTAAATTCAGTGTGGAGTATTTTATAGTAACGTGTCTACTAGCTGTGACCTATTCTGATACTTTCCAATTCCATTCCTGTACTACTTTGCACCGTACCTGGACCCAGCTCACTTGTCCATGTACTCTCCGCTCTTGCAGTTGTGCTTACTGGATCTCGCCTTCCTGGTTGGACGAGGATGTGCTGCCAGCTTTGGTTTACGTGTAACCGCACACTCTAGGATTTTTGTCCTAGCCTTGTGCCAGCTGAAGGCGCGCTAGGTACTGTATCTCTTTGTCTTCTGAGGGAAAACGTCAGGTAGAAAAACTGTTAGCTTGCTGAAGACCTAATGTGTCTGGATTTGTTATATGGGCTGCTTAAACCAGAAAGACTCGGTGATTAAATAGGAAAAACACTTTGCACCCCAGGACACTTGGGCGATTAGATTTTCCAAAACTTTCCTATTTAATATTTTTCTTAGTTGTTTAAGCCTTGTTTGGCTGCTATGGAATGTTTAGTTTATAAACCTGGGAGCTTCTATTTAATTACCCTGCTGAAACTTTTGACCATTTACAAACCTATATACGTTTGCAGTGCTGTAAACCCGCCTCTGCGTACTGAACTCTTGATACTGTGTCTCTCCTCCAACGTTCCTGTCGACAGCTGCAACCTTTCTTATCAGCAGACGCGTCCGTTCTTTTGGCAGGATCCTTCCCATGGCTGAGAAGGTCTTTAGCGCAATGATGGATAGCAGTGCTAATATTTGAACTACAACAAGACGGGAACATTTTCAGAAACATTACGTCCAGTGTTTAGTGTGCACTTGAGTGAAACACTTGTGACCCTGGGAATTTGGCAGTCAGCTTCTGCACTGGTAACTCACTGCACTTCCTAGTTTATTGTGAAGTGGTCGCTGAGCAAAAAGTAAAACTGAACATCCCTTGCGAGGACAAAATGCCTTGATGAAACCTAAACATCTGTTATACCTCTTAGGCTGCACCAGTCCTCACAAAGTCTACAAAATTCAGACTGTGTGACTAAGGAGGGAAAAGCTGTGAATAAACTTTTCCATCTCTCTTCTACTCGCTCACTTTTTCACTTCTAACTCGCATCCTAATATGCAGAGATTAAAAATGCATGTAAACAAAAATATTTGTGAAGCTGTTATGTTTTATAGATCCTGTGCTTTGTCCATGACTTTAGATTGTAAACATTTTCAAGTAGGGATTGTATTTCCCCTACATTTGCACAGTTGCACATGGGGCTTTTAGCAGCTAGTACGTATTAGCCTTTTTTATTCATTATTACAAATACATTTTAATTTGAGTGGATTTATGGACAACTAAAATTCCAAGCAAGTAGTCATTCAACTTCTACGTAAAATAATCTTTGTAACTGAACTGTCTACAGTCAATATTATATGAGAAATAGATGCAGGGACAGATTAAATGGAGTTTAGTTCTTACAGAGGAGTTTGTCAAAGAAGTTCTTAAAATATCTTACCACAAGAAGTGAAGAGAACGGAGACCTTGGCACAGGCATTTTGCGTTGTAGTTAAATATCTTTAGGCAGCTTACAGAAATTTAGATTTTGGACAAATGATAGCTAGTCCTTACAACCACGCATCTCTTACCTCTGGAAAAGAAGTAGTGTTTTTTAAAGAGCCGCTGTAAGATGCTGTTTCTATTTCCAGCCTCGAGAAAGCGAGTCGGGTGAGACTGCCCGGCCTGCCCGGCCGCCTGCGGTGGCTTCTGGGCAGGTTGTCCCAGCAGCTGAGAGGGGCAGAAATCTCACAGGCGGTTACAGCTGTATAAACATCGTTAAAGGCAGCGGGAAGCGCGGCA